TTTGCACATTTTTCTTGTTATTCTGGCACTTACCATTTTTATTTAAAGAGAAATCTGTTGTAGGTGTGTGAGATTTCCATTTACTTTGTGCTTAAGTTGTGGCAGGGACCAAAAATCAATTCCATACTTTAAAAATGAGTAATGTTGGGCCTGGAGCGGTAGCCTAGTGGGTAAAATCCTTTCCTTGTATGTGCCAAGATTTCATATGGACGCTGGTTTGTGTCCTGGCTACCCCACCTCCCTTCTAGCTCCCTGTTCGTGGCTTGGGAAAGCAGTCAAGGGATGGCCCAAAGCATTGGGAGCTTGCACCTGCATGGGAGACCCAGAAGATGCACCTAGCTCCTGGCTTTGGATTGGTTTGGCTCCAGCCATTGTGGCCATTTGGGGAGTGAACCAGTGGACAAAAGAACGTTCTTTTTATCTTCTTCTCTTTACATCTGCCTTTGGGGGAAAAAAAAGGTCATTGGGTCCAATTAAAATGAAAAATCAAGGTTAAGGTGACTTGCAAAGGTTAAGGTTTGAGCCTCATAGAAGACAGTTGATGGCAGCAAGAGCTCGGACTTGTTAGCAATCTGTTTCCTAACCAAAGGGAGTGAGAACAGCTACGATTTATTCTCACTACACTAGGGATGAATTCCTTCTGATAGTACAGGAGGCCTGATGAGTGTCCACCAATCAACCTGAAGAAAACAGCACACCTAGGTAGAATATTGAGACTTGACATTTGAGACATGGATTTCAAGTTTGAAGGCAATTGGAAGAACAAATAAATTAACTTTGCGCTCATTGAGACAGTTTGGAATGAATATGCATGCTGTCAGGTTTTTTTTCTCTGTTGAGCCATTTGTTTATGGTAATGTTTGCCATGCTAGTGCAGGAATAGATTAACTCACAGAGTATAAAAATGTTCAGGACTTGTATGTTGTGCTAATGGTACGCTTTCCTGCAGGATGCGTCACTAACGTGGCCTGGCGAAGCTAAGTGTCCTGTTCAAGGTTGCGGATGCTGCTACAGATCTGAAAACTGTCATTTAACTTTCTTGATTCTGTGGGCACTTGTTCTTAAAATAGGCAGAATGTGATTGAAGAAAATCTCGTATATTATATTCTACTCTTTTTGCAATAATCCTATGAAGATGAAGTAACTTAAAATGATAGAATTAAAATTAGGGATTTCAAGCACACTTTGCCTCAAATTTGCTCTTATTTTATGATATCTGAACCCTCCTCCAATGATGAATTATTCTGAATCCAGAGAGGGCAGACTTTTGAAGGCAAATGGAAGTGTGCCAGATAGTAAATACTCTTTTGTGGGCCAGGCAGTTTCGCAACTTTGCTGTTGGAGTGGGGGAAGAAGCCATAGATAATTTGTAAATGAACAGATTCCACATTCCAATATGGCCACGTTCCAATAAAACTTTATTTGTGGAACTGAAAGTAGAAACTGTCCTAAGGTGATCATTACCCCCTAGATACCTGAATCCAAAGAGCACATTGTGCTCAGGAATAAGTATAAACAACCTGTGCCAATCAAAAAATCAATAAAATAAATACAATTTGAATTTCCCAAAATTTTATGTATTATATAGTAAGTTTGTTTAGATTTTCTAATTATATTTGAAGATATAAAATCAGTCTTAGCATATTTTCCAAAGCCAAGTGAGACTGCTAATGACCTGTAGGCTTTAGTTTGCCATCCCTGTTTTATTTTTATTTATTATTTTTAATTAAACATTTTTTAAAGATTTATTTTATTTTTATTGGAAAGTCAGATATACAGAGAGGAGGAGAGACAGAGAGGAAGATCTTTCGTCCGATGATTCACTCCCTAAATGACCACAATGGCCGGTGCTGTGCTGACCCAAAGCCAGGATCCAGGAGCTTCTTCCAGGTCTCCCAAACTGGTGCAGGGTCCCAAGTCTTTGGGCCATCCTCAACTGCTCTCCCAGGCCTCAAGCAGGGAGCTGGATGGGAAGTGGAGCTGCTGGGATTAGAACCGGCACCCATATGGGTTCTGATGCGTTCAAGGCAAGGACTTTAGCTGCTAGGCCACGCTGCTGGGCCCGCCAACCCTGTTGTAGATGGGGAAAAAAACATGGATGTTAATCTTGGCTGGAAGAGTACAGCCTGTCTTATGCCTGTTAGTTGATGATTTTGTGGTTAAGGCTGAAGTGGCTGGTCTCTCCCAACAATATGTTTTTGTCTTGCCATTTCCACTCATTTTCTTCAAAATTTGGTGGCCTTGCTTCATTTTCATATATCCTAGTGATAAATTATTAGCTGGTGGTCATGTGGTTTCTGCAAAATAGAGTGATAATCTTTGTGTCCATAAAGATGTTTCAATTTGTTCTGTTTCCTGCATGGAAATCATTTCCAGTAATTTTTCCTCATGTGAGGTTCAGCTCTGCATAAACTGCTGTCTCTCTCGCACAGACTCTAGCATAATGCTAAATAGCTAACATTCATGAAACTGCACAGTTGTTACTCGGCAAGGGGACCACTGGGAATCTGCTCCCACCGCCGAGATTTCAAGAAGAGCCATTTTGCCTTTGTGCCTTGAGAAATGACTGGTACTGCTGTTTGGGAATACGCACGCTTTTATACACTGACAGACACTCATTTTTTCTACTCATTTTCCTACCGCCAAACAACATCCAGAAACTGTTTTAAAAGTATTACATTTCTTTACCTAAAACCTCCTCCCGAGAGGTTTCTGAGCGTTTCCCCTGTGACACATCTCAACTCCCATGCGAACAATCTGTGCCTGTCTTCTGCCGGTTGCTCCTTGGAAACAGGGAGGGGCAGGACCCAATTTAAATACGCAGAACCTCTGAAGTCTGGCTCAAGTTACTTCAAAGAGACAGCTCCCCTGGCTTTGCTTGTGCTCACAAGCAGGCTACAGTTATTTCACTACTAATTCTGGATTGCTCCCTTCCTGTTGTTTTAGGGTATTTTTTTTTAAGCTTTCTGGTTTTACCATTTCCAGCTTGAGTCAATAGACCATAAACTCAGGATGTTGGAGTCTAAAGGTGGGTTGGACTCTGCCTTCACCTTTCTCTACCCTCATTACATGTCATTCCAGGTCTCCTGGCCAAGTTAGCCTTGTACAAACCAGAGACAGAGAAGGATTAAGAAAGGCAAAACATCATCTTCACATCAAGTTGTCTAAACTCCTGGGCAAAGGATGCTTGGATTCAGCCACAAGCATTAGTAAAATCTTACTTTCTGCTATGAAGCAGCAGTGTCTACTGTTCGTTCTCATGCCCCTTTCTTAAATTAGAAGAGGCTGTATTGAAATGCATGGAGTTCCAAAAATAAGCTCCAAGTTGATAGTTATTCAAAAATGTACATTTCTAAGTCAAATAAAATAAAAGACCCCCAAATCACCTCTCTGCCAAATTGTTATAATTCATTAAATCAGTGGAGGGGAGAATGGTTGACGTAAATCCATCTTCTATGACAGGATGTTCCATCAACTTTCTAGGTTATAAGGTCCAGTAGTGCATCGCTATTTACATCGTAAATGCTATTTACATCAGTATTTTTATTAACATAAAAATCCTTTGGAAAAATAATAACCTGTTAGTGAAACTGAGACAAATACGGCAGCATCTGAGATTTCTTAGGTAGCAATGCAAGATCATCTTATGCATATCTGAAGTTCACTTCAACTATGAGCTTTTACACGGTTACGGGTTGACTAGCTTCTGTTTGTGTTTTCATTCAACACTGGCCAGCCACATTCTGTCTGTCATACAGAGCATTTGGGAGTACTGCTAAGGTAGTTACTTTTGGGATAAATCAGCTTCCTCTTTGATTCAACTAGCAGAGAGGGACTTGATGACTTGATGACAGAATAATGGAAGCTACAGCAAATAGTCTCTGCCACTCATATTGATTAAGTAGAGGAGGATGTCAAACTGGTTCCTCATGTGTCAATTCTGATCACATTTTGTCTGTTCTATTCTTGCTGCGTTCAGCAGAGAACAGTACATCTCATGGGATGGCCATTTGTCCTACCTTGTTAAGTAGCATATAACGTATGCAGAAGAAGGCTGGCTCCGTTTGGATGCTGTCTGGGACTAAGTGTGTCATGTAGTCCTGGGAGGGATAATTGTGAAGCCTGGTTCTTGAGACATAAGCCCTATTCTCTTTAACACCTTCATTAATTACACACATGGTATTTTGGCTTTTTTCATTTGTTTCAGTCTATCAATAATTCCATGCAATCATATGTTAGGCTGGAAGGAACAGTGTTATTTAACTCTCCACCCCATTTGGCCTCCGTTAGAGAAGTCTTTCAGGGATATTCAGGTATAGACTAATTTCCATAATCTTGGTCTGATGGATAAATGTGTTTGTTGGTTTACATGCAGGTTGTTTTTAAGAATGGCGATTGGCATTCCTGGAAAAGCTTAAGGGGATTTACAATTGCTCTTAAAGCTGAAGGGCTATGTGAGCACTTGGTACTCCCCAAATGACAGCTTGTTCCAGAGCCATCAGTCACCTGGAAGAGAATGGTCATCTGCCTTTCGTTAACCATGTTGAAATGGTGGTGGGGTGATCACTGTTTGAGTGTTCTTATTCTTCACATCTGAGGTATAAGTTGTTTAAAATCCTTATTAAGAGCAAAGCAGTAGGAAAAGATTGACGTGGCATTCTCCTAGGACTGAGGTGTTACCTAAGCCATGAGACTTCCCTTGACAAAACTGAGTACACGGATGGCAAACTGAGACAAACTGACATCCTATAAGATGCACCCAGCACATCCTTTTAGCTGCCCACCCAGCAATGTCACCGAGTATAAACAAAGGCCTTGCTGTTTGTAATCAGCTGTGGTTGCTCAAAGTTTTGGGACAAATTTTGGGACACTGTGACACTTGCTTCATGAGGACCTGAGAAGAGCTGAATGGTATCCAGTACGTATCCCCAGTTGACTGCATGTATTGTGCTTATGGTTCTTGCTTTTCTTTAAATAATTTCTTCTGGTTTTCCACTCAGGTTTGTGATTCAGATACCATGCTTGACCCTGCTTCTTCTGTGGAGATGGTGAAAGTTTTGGAAGAAGATCCCATGGTCGGAGGTGTTGGGGGAGATGTCCAGGTATCTATGTTTTTAATGTGTAAGACAAATTGAATAATACTTTTACTCATTGATTCATATTATATATTGATACACACCAACTCTATGTTGAATATTTTTATGGGTACAAGAGATATATTAAATATGAAAATATACTTTTCCCATCTTATTGAGAAAGTTTAGGATCACCTAGCTTTGTCCTGGGATATAGTCCTTGTCTATATTAGCTGATGAGTTATAGATAACATAAAACTTCAAAGTAAAGAACTGGGCCCAGCATGGTAGCTTAGTAGCTAAAATCCTCGCCTTGCACATGCTGGGATTCCATATAGGTGCTGGTTCTAAGTCCAGCAGCCCAGCTTCCCATCCAAATCCCTGTTTGTAGCCTGGGAAGGCAGCTGAGGACGGCCCAAACCCTTGGGACCCTGCACCTGCCTGGGGGACCCTGAAGAGGCTCTGGGCTAATGGCTTTGTATTGGCTCAGCTCTGGCCATTGCGGCCCTTTGGGGAGTGAATCATCAGATGGGAGATCTCCTCTCTGTCTCTCCTCCTCTCTCTCTGTATCTGACTTTGTAATAAAAATAAATAAATCTTTAAAAAAAAAAGAGTAAAGAACTAGAATACAGATCATACATCTTACTCTCTTCCCTCTCTCTACATAGAAATAAATACATATAAAGTATATTTCATATATATATATGAGATTTTAGTGATTTGAAAAGCCAAGTTACAGGGAGAGAAAGAGACAGAGAAAAAATGATCTTCCCATTCACTGGTTCCCTCCAGAGGGCTGTAATGACATGGGCTGAGCCTGGCTGAAGCCAGCACCAGCAGCCAGCTAGCCCATATAGATTCCAGGTACAAGTGGTCAGGCTGTTCTCAACTGCTCTCTCAGGCAAATTAGCAGAGAGTTGGATCAGGAGTAGCGTAGTGGTGTCTCAAACCAGTGTTCATATGGGATAGGCTTAACCCATTATGCCACAGCACTGGCCCCTACTGTGTGTTTAAAAACTGCTCAATATATAATTGATGAGAAAGTCCCAACCGGAAAAACAACAGAAAAAAACCTCAAATTTATACTGGGAAGAAAGGCAAAGGTTAAGTGGGCTTTTAAATGTGAATAATCCCATTCTTTTCATTTAATCAGTGGAGAAATATTTTAATGAAGCAAATAGTGAAAGTCATTCAAAGTCCACAGGATGGAAAAATGAGCATGTGAAAATATGTAAATTCCATAAAAACACGAGGTTAGATTTTAGCAAAAAGTGAGAAATACACAGAAAGTTGACTTCAAAAAGTTCAGATGTAGAATTGCAATATATCTGATTTTGTGTATGCATATTGATAATGAAGGCAATTAAATTGCATTGTACAGGACAAAGAAATAGCCTTGCAATGAAAGATGGCCTGAAAATTTCAGGTGAAAATGGAGCAGAATTGAGACAGTAGGAATCAGATAGTGATATTTGCAAGAAAAGTGTACAATTTTCAGCAATCTATATAAAGCATTATTCTAGGATTTAGATTTTGCAAGTTTGCTAGAGCAAATTCTCTGTCACTGGCATTGCCAAAACGAGTGCACAGGAGGAAGAAGGAAAATTAACATTTAAGGACTGGACAAATTGGTACTTAACCACAGCAGAAAAGGACTTGAACTCAAAATCCTCAAATATTACATGAAAAGAGTACCTGGGTAAGGATTAATGGAGTAAAGACTAAACCTAAAGATGCCATCTCAATATTATAGCATAAAAACCAGGACAAGAATGAAAGACAGAAAGACAGAAAGAAAAAAAGACAGAAAGACAGAAAGAAAGAAAAGAAAAGAAGAGGGAATGATAAACTTATAAAAAATACCTAGAATCCCAACCACACATATACACCTAGATTATCAATCACATCTAGCAATAGAGAGCCAGAGAAAACAAAATATAATGATGACAAAATGAGGAAACAAGTCAAAATATGGAGACCCAATAACAAATTTCACAACAGGTAGAAAATTGAGGCTTATGTTTTCTTGGTACTTTTAGGTAAAGCTTACATTTTTCTTTTTCACGTTTTTCATCTTGTTGCAGATTTTAAACAAGTACGATTCCTGGATCTCCTTCCTCAGCAGTGTGAGATACTGGATGGCTTTTAATATAGAAAGGGCTTGTCAGTCTTATTTTGGGTGTGTTCAGTGCATTAGTGGACCTCTGGGAATGTACAGGAACTCCTTACTGCATGAGTTTGTGGAAGACTGGTACAATCAGGAATTTATGGGCAACCAGTGTAGCTTTGGCGATGACAGGCATCTGACAAACCGGGTGCTGAGTCTGGGCTATGCAACAAAATACACAGCTCGATCCAAGTGCCTTACTGAAACGCCTATAGAATATCTCAGATGGTTGAACCAGCAGACCCGTTGGAGCAAGTCCTACTTCCGAGAGTGGCTCTACAATGCAATGTGGTTTCATAAACATCACTTGTGGATGACCTACGAAGCCGTTATCACTGGATTCTTCCCATTCTTTCTAATTGCCACAGTAATCCAGCTCTTCTACCGTGGTAAAATTTGGAACATCCTCCTCTTCTTGTTAACTGTCCAGCTAGTTGGTCTCATAAAATCATCTTTTGCCAGTTGCCTTAGAGGAAATATCGTCATGGTCTTCATGTCCCTCTACTCAGTGTTATACATGTCAAGTTTACTTCCCGCCAAGATGTTTGCAATTGCCACAATAAACAAAGCTGGGTGGGGCACATCTGGAAGGAAAACCATTGTTGTTAATTTCATAGGACTCATTCCAGTATCAGTTTGGTTTACAATTCTCCTGGGTGGTGTGATTTTCACCATTTATAAGGAATCTAAAAAGCCATTTTCAGAATCCAAACAAACAGTGCTGATTGTTGGAACGTTGGTCTATGCATGCTATTGGGTCATGCTCTTGACGCTGTACGTGGTTCTCATCAATAAGTGTGGTCGGCGGAAGAAGGGACAACAGTATGACATGGTGCTTGACGTATGATCTTACGTCGATGGATCTTTGCAATCGCAGGCGCAGACACACACAACACCTTAGTTCCTCGAGGGGCTGAACAATTAGGTGGCATTAAATGATGCCACCAAAGGAGACGTATCAGTGCTGCTGGGACTTGAACAAAGACGTTTCTATGAGTTTATTTTGATTCTGCCAAAGTAAAATGAAACAACAAGAGGAAGAAACTCAGATTTAACCTGTTATTTCTATGAAAATGGGAGGAATTACTTGTTTATGCACTTTTTCCCTACGGTGCATCCACCTGACAGTATTTTGCTCTATATACCTCACTAGCCATGCTTTAGGTGGGTTATCATGGAAGAAAAGGATTTTGGAAACTCAAGGAAATGTTCTTTCAACCTATACAGCCTAACTTATGAACAGTTATGATTGATCGCTAATTTTTTAGGAAGTGTTTTCTCTTTTAACTCTGCCAAATGAAATGCCAAAGGAAATTACAAAGGCCGTTGGCTGTGCTGTATTTTGATATAATTGTACTGTGTTTTAAATTTTTGTATGCCAATTTTTAAGACAAATTTTGCATATTCTATATTTTACTTCTCTTCCAAAATACACCTGATCTTCATTTTTTAATAAAATAGATTCTGAAAAAAAAAAACCATACTTAAAAAAAAACCTGCCCAAAATGTGAAGCTTGGTTGACTGATTTTCATAATAGAAAGAATAAAATGTTTCTCTCTCTCTACCTTTTAAAATGGAATAGTTTATTTCTGTGAAAAAGTATTTAAACTTCCAAGATTTTTAACTTTTGATTTCAGTTCTTTTTGAAAAGGACCATGTACCTGTCACAATTTGGGAGTGAAAACACACACTTGCATGTGTGCAAAACAATGTCATTGAAAACCAAGGCCAAAGGGTAGAGGAGTGCAATTTTTTCCTAAGTCAGAAACAAGGGAATGCTAGTCCCAAGCATGGGACATGCAGCACTGGGAAATCCTCGGATAATCTGTGAAGATTCTGGCAGTGATTTCCCAAAGGGCAGTGGAAGTCGAAAAATTATCTGTATAATTTGGACAAACACAGTGTAGGTCATAATAAGTTTCATTCTCTGGCCTGAATTCACTGAATTCCGTCATATATTGAACATGTTTCACCTGTTATTTTTTCTGTTGTTCTTCAACTTGATAGTTTACGTGTTTATGCGCTATTTACACGGATGAATTAGATACATTAAAATAAATAGAAAACACAGCTTCAAAATGGTCAGTTTCAAGCTCCAAAGGTTCTCTTTTACTTTCAGGGAGTTTTACATCCAAAATTATACAGATAATTTTTTTTATTATTCTTGGCCTTCACAAAAATGTCTACACAGCAGAAAAAAAAATCATAGCTAAGCAAATATGTCAAGAAAATGAACAAATCAGATACTCTGAATATCAAGTCATCATCCAGCATGACTTTGTAGATGTTTGGTCTTGTAGCTGGTGCTGTGTAGACCTGTGTTGTGAACAGCCATCCTGGAGCATGGATAGTTCCAAAGCATTGCTTGGAAGCAGAGACACATGTCGCAGTCCTCAACTGTGGGTTTCTTCCCATCTGCTTCCTTCCCAAGTGGACATCTGTGTTACAACCATCCTGCCTAAGAAAAAGCTGCACATTCTACCTTCAGAGAACACCCAGGGTGCATAAGATCCTTAGACTCACAGAACGGAGAGCTTGTGGAAACAAACATACCATGCCAACAAGACTAAAACTTGACTTTGACTTTTTAACTATTTATGTTCTAAGTTAAGCTTTGATAACATTCAAATGTCAAATTCTCTCATTCTTATAAAATTGAATTAATTGCCTGTATTTATTTTAGCAATTATTCAATGTACTTCCAGTATAGGATGTATAGTATGATTGATTTTTTTTGTAAATAAAATATTTTTGATAAGATTATTGCCTTTTTTTCTACGGGAAGGGGGCATTTTTTTTTTTTTTTTGGCTTGTAATGGTTATTGTTTAGGGGTTGGACATATATGAGATCGATGTTCATGGTGGGTGAAAGATAAATGCAATGTTACTTTATGTAATAATCTTCAAAATCGTTGTGGCAAGCCACGGGGGCAGGGAGAGACTGGGAGAGAGGTGGAGAAGAGAAAGAAAGAGCTCAGTTCAGCATTATTTTTTTCTGTGCGCTTGTCTTTCTTACATTTCCCTTACAAGCAGTCCAAATTTAGATAAAAGTTTTATTATCAAAGATCTTATAGTGGGAAGAAAAAAATCACAGATATGCAGAAAAATCTCAAATGACTTTGTTTTAATTATAGTATTATTTATCCGCAATTAGCAACATAAAGATAGCCTAAAATAAATAATGAGGGAAATAATTAAATTATGGCATATTCAAGGAATTTAGAAATGTCACATTATGTACAGCAGAACTCTGATTTTGTCAAAACAACTAAACATGGTTATCTCTAACACTGGCAATATGACCAACTTATATTCTGTATCCATTTTTGTATTTTCCAAATGCCATGAACATGTATTGGTTTATAAAGAGAAAAAAAGAAAATAAATAGTTTGTAAAGTGGGTTGGTATATTTAATAGCATTTCCTGATTTGAGGGTCTTGGATAGCAATTATTCCATTTTATTTCTTCTCCTTCAAATTCATCTTATTTCCCAATGCTTTCTATCTTTATATTTCCATGGATCGCCATTATTTTGTCGCAGTTACATTGTTAAGTAATTACCACTGAACGTTACTGTCACAGTACACAACAGAAACACTGCTATTGGCTGAATGTGCATATGATAAACTCACACTCTTCTCCCAGGTACTTGACTGTATTCATCAATTCTTCCCAATCTGCCTCAAGTTTCTTTAGTCAAAAGCACCATTTGTTATCTTGCCACCCATTCTTTTCAGCAGTAAGCAGCTGGTTACTACAGCCATTTGACTTCACTTTTGCCATGATCGGCTAACTCAACTCTCATTCTTGTTAAGATGATACCTCGTTTCTGTTTTAACCATTGGATTCTGGATATTTCTACAAAATTGTGCCTCTTGTAATATCTGTCTCTTTGATTAGAGGTAAGCGTTATGGTGGAAAGAGCTGTGTGATAATCTCTTCATTGTGTCTTCTGATCTTGGTACGCGGTTTGTCACTGGGAACTCCACATAAATCCATGGAATGAATAAACAGGTGAGGGAATGAGACTTTCCGGATAGTTTAGGAAACAATCATGGAATCTGAGTTACAAGTCAAACTGAGTTTTTTTGTAAATAAAGCCTTCCCCACCTTTAAATGGATGTACTATTACATGGATTTATATAAATGTGTATTTTTTGTGATGTGAAGAATAAATGTACACGATGAAGGTCTTGTCAGTGCAGTGTGGGTGGGAGGATGCTTTGTGCACTGTGAGAAACTAAGTAATGAAACTCTGGAATTGTTCCACTGAGGATGCACAGATATCTCTAAGTTATACATATACATATATATTTGATCTAGCAATTTCAACGTTAAATGCCACATTTCTGATTTTGGTTTCTGGTTTACGTTTTGCATGAGTGTAATTTTGGAGAAATCTTGTTGCTACATTTATCCTCTCACGAAACAAAGGCTTTTCTAATATATGTGGATTTTGCTGTTTCGCTTACGCAGAGGCGTTGGAGGTAGAGACAAGTGCCACATAGAGAGTTGCTGTTCACCGAGTCACTCCTCAAATGCCTGCAATGGAAAGGCTTGGGCCAGGTCCAAGCAAGGAACTCAGTCCATATTGCCCTTGTTCCTGGCAGGAGCCCAAGCCCCACAATCATATCCTCTGCCCCCCAGGGTCTACCTTGGCAGGAAACTGGTGTCAGCGGTGAAGCTCAGATCTGAACCACTTGTATGCGGAACAAGGCATCCTGATATCTCAATAGCTAGACCAAATGATGTGTGCTTTATATTCAAAACATAATATTTGCATTTATGCATAGGTACCAATTTGCTGTTTATTTGAAACTTTCCTGTATCAGATGGACTCAGAAAGTCCATGAACAAATGAGCTTAAACGATGTTCACTCTGTTTTTAAAGATTTATGTATTTTTTTTTTTTATTGCAAAGTCAGATATACAGAAAGACAGAGAGGAAGATCTTCTGTCTGATTATTCACGCCCCACAAGCTGCTGCAATGGCTGGAGCTGAGTCAATCCAAAGCTAGGAGCCTGGAACCTTTTCTGGGTCTCCCACACAGGTGCAAGGGCCCAAGGGTTTGGGCCATCTTTAGCAGCATTCCCAGGCCCCAAGCAGGGAGCAGGGATGCTGGGATTAGAACCAGCATCCATATGGGATCCTGGCGCATTCGAGGCGAGGACTTAAGCTGCCAGGCCACAGCACTGGGCCTAAATGATGTTCACTTTTAAAGCCACAATTTTTGAAACATATGCACAGTACTTTTAAAAAATACATTTGCATGAATTTTGGAAGTCCGCTTATATCAACACATTATTTATATTTGTGGAATCATTTCTTTGCAAGCCTAACTCTAAATTGTCACTTACAGTTCAGCTCAGTATCTTTTCCCGAAATCTTCATTTAACTGCCATAGCTGAATTCCAGGTTACAGTCTACTGCCTTGCCTCTTTTTTCCACATCTTAAATTTCGTTGCCATCACCTCATTAAAGAGTTCCGAACAGCTGTCACAGGGTCTCTCAAGAGCAGGGAATCAGTAAATATGGGTAGGGGGATGTTAAAGAACCAGTGAAGGAAAAATTGTTATACTATAAGTCTCTGCATTTCATTGTGTGTGTGAATATATATAGAGTTACTTCATATGATTGTATTTATTTGTATATTCATTTAGTCTTTAATGTTTTTAGAAGATTGATTTTAAAGGCATAATGAAAGAAAATGTGTGTGTGTGAGAGAGAGAGAGAGAGAGAGAGAGAGAGAGAGAGAGAGAGAGAGAGATTCTGTTTACTGATGTGCTCCCCAAAACATTCCAGTGGCCAGGCGAAGGCCAACAGCCTCCTTCCTGGTCTCCCATAGGAGTGGCATGGATACCACTACTTTGTCCATCTTCTTCTGCCTTCCCAGGCACAGAAACAGTATGTTGAATGGGTAGCAGAGTAGCCAGGACTTAAATTGGCACTCCGAAGTGAGATGTTGGCATTATAGTCGGTGATCTAACCTTCTGTGCCACCACACTGGCTCCTCAACAAATCTTTCTGAGTTGTCTATTGCCTTTCAGGTTCTGTGCTTGCAAAGGAACTCTTACCACTACAGTGAGAGCTCCACGTCGTTAAATGATCATCCAGGAAACAGCAAGGCTTCTCTGGAGGCTCAGGCATGCTAGGAAACAATGAGTTTGTCAAATTGCTGCACTGCTGTAAGTCCCGGAAAACTTGAACGTGTTGATAAGATTTATGGATCTGTAAGAAAGGCCTGCCACGTGTAGAAATTCCCACACTTAAATGCCTATGGTACCATTTCCATAGGGATGTGTATGAACACCTAGATTAACATAATTATTCTGCAGAACGCCATTTAGGCACTACTGGTATATAATTCTGGACATCATAAGTTGTGTTTGTTTTCACTCAACATCTGAAAACACCACTAGGAGCTTAACTTCCTTATTACTGGAGTAATCATTTCCAGGTGTGAAGACCACAGATGTAAGGGAGAGAGGCCTTCGGGTTCATTTGGCTTAACCTATGACCTATAGTAAACAGGCGCTTTCGGTGTCAGAAAGTCCTCCACATTATAGCTTAGGGAAACTAAATGACTTGTACCAGCTCTGCTACTCAGGGCAACAAGAATTTCAAAAGTGACGCTTTGGAAAATGCACAGTTCGTGGCTTAGGATTTATTGGACATGATTTCCATGGTGTATCAGAGCACTGATTGAATAAAAGCAGAATTGCTTTATAAACTGAGTGACAGACTCTCTCTCTCTCTCTCTCTCTCTCTCTTGGATTGAGCTTACTGCTGAGTCACAGAATCAAAGAAAGTCATCTTTTAAAAAATTAGGTCAGGATAGAATCACAAAATACCTGTTCCCTCTCAGAAAGAGCAGAGGCACTGCTGTATAAACATGTCCATCTCCTACCTCTACAGCCAACACAGGACGTGTCTCAATGCAAAGCCAAAGTTTAAAAATCTAAGTATTCTAGAACAATAATCTGTGTCAACCAAAGATAAATGCAGCTATTTGAGAAGTTATTAGTGGAATCACTCTTAGGAGACTTAAACTTTACTTAATCCATCTCAAATTTCTCTAATCTTTGTAAGGATAAGAGAAGGTCAAAAGATAGCAGGAAAATCCACTAGGTGAGGGTTTTAGCCCCTCACTCCAAAGTTTTCCAGCTAGTTATAAGCCTTAGCATTAGAGTTTTGGTCTATTTTTCCCAGATAATTATAGTTGGGTATTATTTATAATGCAGTGATTTGTAATTTTTGGGCAGTTTTCCTTCTTTGAAACCTAATGCACTAAGATTATATAGATATTCAGCCCCCTTGAAATGATTTGAAAATTATAGGGCTTATGAGTCTTCAATATTTTGCTCTTAAATTCAAAATCACCCCATAACAGCCGGAAATTGTTGGCTCCATGAAGAAATATCATGACATATCAAAAACAGAGAGATGGGCAAGTGTGACAGCCTAAAGGTTAATTCCTTGCCCTGCATATCTGCTGGGGTCCTATACAAGTGCTCCTTTGTACCCCTGCTGCTGTACATTCCATCCAGCTTCCTGTGGAGCTCAGCTCAGCTTGTGGTTGCGGAAAGCTTTGGGACCTGTACCCATGTGGGAGATCTGGAAGAGGCTCCTGGATCCTGGTTTCAGATCAGCTCAGCTCTGGCCATTGCTGCCACATGGGGAGTGAATCAGTGGAGGGGACATCTTTGTCTCTCCTTCCCTGTTTGTATCTGCCTTTCCAATAAAAATATAAATTTTTATAAGAAGATATAAATGGTTTTGCTCCACCTAAAATCGTTGCCACACTTCCCGGTTTGGATGTGTCTACTGGATCATGGAGTAATTTCATTCTTGGGCTTTGGCCGCCAAGCGAGTGCATCCAAACTCCTGCTCTACCACTTCTCAGCTGAGCAAATAAAAATGACACCACTTCTTTGAACTGTAATTTTCCCATCTAAATTGTAAAGAGAAAGATGCTCTTCTCTCAGAGTTATTATGTGCTTAAACTATCTTACGAAAAACACTTTAGGAAAAATCTCACTGCACAATAGAAATTGACCAGAAGTTTTCTTTCATTGTTCCTCTGCCATAAATAAATTTGTCTTCTTCCTAAGATTTTTGTACTCGGCTAAACGTTGCACTGAGCATAGAGATTTGTAACTCAAACACCAAGCAATTTTTACCTTGTAAAAATGCATCTTCATTTACCCATTTGCTGACTTGTCTATAACCTCAAGATTTTCTTTAAGGATTCTATAAGAATCTCCTTTAGAGACATAGCTAGTAAAATCTTAAACTGTGTAGTGTGTGCTTCTGTGTAAAGGAAGATTTGATACAGACAACATTTTATAAAGTTACAAATTTATCTTTAAAAATTATTTGAAAGAGTTGTATGTATATGTATATATAGAGAGAGGGTGTTCCATACTGGTTCACTTCTCAGATGGTTCCAATGATCAGGGCAGTCCAAGCCCAGACAGAATCCAGGAGCTTCATCAGGTCTCCTGCTTGGGTGCAGGAGCTGAAACACTTGAGCCATCTTCCACTGATTTCTCATGCCACTGGGAGGGAACTCAGAAGTGGAGCAGCCAGGACATCAATCAGCACCCATATAAGATGTTGGTGTCACAGGTGGCAGTTCCAAAGCTGGCCCCAATAAAGACAGTTTCGCATCTGACAAAACAAATGTTTTGTAATGTCTAGAATACAGTAGGTATGCAAGCAGGAAGAGCATGATGTCAGATGGATCTGAGTCCTGGCTTCACTGTTCTCTGGCTGAGTTTCAGTAGATGACCTTCACATCTTCATCTGGAAGGCAGAACTCCCCTGTTGCAATTTTAGAGGTATGCTATTAATATTGAAAATCGCAGTAGAAAGATAAGGTCATGAAGAATTCAGAAAAACTCTGCATATGTGATTCTCTGCTTATTCTGAGCATCAAAGGGGAACACTGAAGTATGAAATATAACAGAGGTCAGACGACAAGCTTGAGCCCTATTAGGGCATCTATTAGATGCTCTCTTCATGGTACTGCAGCCACCGAGGCTGAGCTGCTGACTCCTGTGCCTACTGCCGTGCCCGTGCTTCCCATGTTCCTGTTACTCTATTACTCCACTGAGGTCAGGTTACTTACCTGCTCAGAAGCGCTTATGTGTCCTCTTATTTCAGGATTCCATGTTTGACCAGGCTGACATAATCTGCCTCTGTTGCCGTGACCTCCTGCTTTCTCTTCTTTATAACATTCCATGTTGCCATTATTTCTGTTCTTCAACCAAGACAAATTGATTCCTGCTTCAGGACCTTTAATGATTGCCATTACTTTGCCCCAAAGCACACTTTTTGTCTAAGAATTTAGCATGGTTGATTTCTTTTTCTCATTGAGGTCACTTCCTCAGTGAATCTTCCCTTGATCCTGTCATTTATAGTGACATTTTGTCTCCCAACTATTGAGAATCAATGTATTGATTGATTTGCTTACTTGAATACTGTTTCTTTCAGCACTTAGAGTATTTAGTTCAGGGAGCAGAGGATCTAGAGATCTGCTTAGCATATAGAAAGTATCAAATGAAAGTGGGTAAGTGCCTAATACATAGAACGTGGTAAGTGAAAATTGGATGAACACGTACAGTGATCAAACAGTAGTGACCAGTGGCCCATTTTCGGAAATATTAAAACTGCTTCTCCTAAATTGAAGCATAAGGAAGGAGTCAAGTGAAAAGTGAGCAGCTAATTTGTTATTCCAATAGGGAGAAAAAACAATCGTCCCCACGCTTCTTACCATTTATTCCCATGGGTCAAGAATGGATCCCTATAAGCTGCAGCTAAGGAAGTACTTTAGAATTTAGAAATTAGAATTTAGAAATTTAGAGCTAAGTCATGTATAAATTGTAGAGCTAGAACATTGTTCCCATTAAAAATCAGTTGCATTCAATATTGCATGAATATGTATTCAAGCTTGCAGGCCAGAGTTTTACTTAGTTTTTTAGCTCTTTTAGATATGTGGTAATATTTTTCATTTTTGAAGAAAAATTCAATAACTCTGCATACATTGAAACCCACAGTTATTGCTCGTCTTATTTTTTGCACCACCGAGGAAAAATGTCCACCCTATCTAGCTAATTATCTAGAGATTGGATGTTGATTTCTGGCCAGCAATAATTTCTCTGAGGATAGTGTTGGCAGGAGACACACTGCTAGAGATTAGGGAATAGAGAAAGTAAGAACTTGCACTGAGCTTCAGGTTCATAACTGAGTCGGCCCAGTGCTGGGATCCCAATGGGCAGCTGACTTCCACACCAGTTAGAACATTCCTCCCTGGGCATAGAGAAGATAGTTCACTGTGTGGCTAGAAGCCCAACCTAGGCAATGTCTCCTTAAACAATCTCTACGGGAATGATGCTCTCTAGCAAGTGAAAGATCCAGTGATGCCATAGGTATCTTCCATCGCTTCCATTCCTGAGTCATTTCCTTCATGGACCAGATAACAGGCATGTGACAGAACTACAACTGTGTGAGACTCCATGTATAGAGGTTAGAATGTTTCTTCAGAATTAATCTAATATGGCTAAGCTTCTGGAGTAAGACAAAGGTGAGCTTTCACAACTACGTCTCTTTTACTCTTTCTACAATTGTGAGAAAACATGGATCATTATTTTTTTTAATTACTATGGAATAACAGAATTGACAAACGTGAGTGAGTGGTAAAGGGGAGAAGGCTTACTTTTGAAATAAACACTAATTAGAAAAAGCTCACTGTAATTCAACTCATGTAATTCTTCTCATGTGATTTTGGTTTATTATTTAAACTTCACTTTATCTCATTTTGCTCTCAGGCTCATGAAAGACACCAGCCTACTCTGGGAAGCGTTCATGACAATCCCGAAAGAAATGACAGGACACAATCCCTAATTTATTTCCAACTAACAAGTTATTTTCCTCTAATAATGTATTTGACAGTTTTAATTAATTAATGATTGAAAAGTTTCTTTCCCTCATGGGGGAAGTCTGGCTGCACTGTGGTGTAGAGGGTGAAGCCCCAGGCTGCAACACTCGTACCCCATTTGGGTGCTGATTCTAGTCCTGGCTGCTCCACTTTAATCCAGTGCCCTGTTGAGGTGCCTGAGGAAGCAATAGAAGTTGGCCTAAGTGCTTGGGTCCTTACAACTTTGGGAAAAGCTGGGTGAAGCTCCAGGCTTGTGGCTTCAGCTTGGCCCTAGCTGTTGCCTCCATCTGGGGAGTGAATGAGAGGATGGGAGATCTTTGTGTCTGTCTCTTTCTCTGTAACACTACCTGTCAGAGAAATCAAAGCAGATTTAAAACATAGGAAATCCATTTTTCCCATTGTTGTGTACATATTTTGGCTACACAAAATGCTTATTGATTGGGTAAAGGCTTCATGTAGCTGAGTAAAAAAGTGATCTTGTCATTTTTGATGGCTTTTAAAAAAATAAGGAATTTTTACTTAGATCAATATGAGGTAACTACTATTTGAATGCTTACCAAATCACAGAAAATGTTTTGAGTATATGGTGTCAATTAACTTCAAGTAAGTCTATGATTTTGATAAGTACATTCTAAAGATAAAGGAACTGACATTCAAAAATGTTAGGTATCTTCACAGCCCATTAACATGTAAAGGCAGAATTCAAAACAAATGATTATATTCAAGTCTGATGCTCCTTTCAATCTTCAGTGACTACTTTTACAAATATTTTCTCATATAAATGCTACTGCATTAATGTGCCATATTTCTGACACAGTGTTGAAGTATTTTAAAATAATGGAACTCGTTCTTCGTGTTGCTTTCTTATTTCAAACAACATAGAATCCAATAGTATTAAGATAAGAGAATTTAACATACTGGCACATTCAAGATTAAAGTGGTTAAGATTTTAAGCTTGGGCTTGATATGGGTGTTAAAAATCCCAGATATGCAATTTATAGGAGGAGCATCCCTGAGCAGACATTACACATTCAATGAGAGTAATTTCCCTTATATTTATTTATGTTTGATAATACAACAGAGCAAATAAAGACAAGTAAAATAGAGAAGGAAAGTTACTAACTGGCACACCCAAGAAAGCCAGGCAAGGAAAATTGTAATAACACAGGAGCTATAAGTAAAGAAGCATGCTTGCTCCCATGTTTGTCTATTTTCCCAGTGAGTAAACTTCAGCCAGGTTTACATTTTTGTGCTGTTCTGTGCTTAAGATTCAAGTTCCCACAGGGAGATTGTGAATGAATGGCCTAGCTTAGCTCACTTATCAAATATGAGCAGGGTTTTCAATGGCCATTACATCAAGCCTATAAACAGTAAGGAGTATAAAATTCTCCAAAACATAACAGATAGCCTGTTGCTTGTCCCCGCCCAAAAGAATAAGCAAAATCTCCCCAAATGTGAGTCCTTGAATTAGTAAATATTAAGCTGCTCACAATTCTGCAAGCTCTGGAAGTTTCTCCCTGGGTTAGTTTGGGGATCAAATGTTTTTAAAATTTGTACTGTGGTGCTGGGCTTTTAGTAAACATTTGCGACTATCTTACATTTTTTTTAATATACAGTTATCAACCTAATCATCTTTCTGTTAGCAAATAACCTTGGGTAGTTAGTTGAGACACAATACCCAGATTTACAACTCAGTTATTTTACCTGTCTCCTCTCCTATCACTGACAAGTTAAGCAACCCATTAGATTCTCCTGCAACATTTGTAAAAAGGTATTATGAAACTATTAATCTCAAGGATTATAAAGGATATTTGTGTTCTAAAAGTTGCAACTAGTGGCTTATAATAATAAGACTTTATTGCCTCTCACAGCTGTAAGTTTAAGGATGGGCTGTGTTTGGGTGGAATTTTGGATTAACATGATGTCTCCTAGGGCTGGGTGGTGCCACATGGCTTCTTTACTCACGCCCCTCGTCTCAGCTGTGACGTCTGGAAGAAATAGAATCACGTCTTTGATCACAGTAGTTTCTTAGCCAGGCAGAATCATTGCTGCTTTTCTCTCCTCTCTGTGTGTGCTGTCCAGCAAGAGAGCCAAATCCCTTAAAAAAAATCCCTGGACTTAGAAAGAGGGGTGGGAATTTTTAAAAGGAATCATCACAGGGCGATTATCAAAACTTGTGCTCTCATCATACTAGCTGATAATGTCTGATTGGCCAAATCAATTCACATAAACAAGGAAAGAATCAACGTGGAAGGGATGATGTATGGACCAGCATCGTTATGCTCAGCAATTTTCTGCAATGATGAAATGAGATCAAGCACAAACCATGTTAGGTCATGAATTCTTTATTTTGCAAAAGAGCAAAATGCAAAGATTCGTTGTCATTTTTAGACATTTCAAGCAAAATTCCAACCAGATATGAATTATAATGATTTTTCGACTGTGTTGTGCCATTTAATGATATAATTGCCATATTCTATCTTGTTGGGTAAGAAAGAATCCATATGTTTTAAACACTGGAAATGTGTAAGACAAAATTCATAAAAACTTTTTACTTCAATAATTTATTTTCATGAGCAGGCAAGCTGCAGGCATTCCTGTAGGATCAAAAGTTTTCTCCATTTTACACGCTTTATGTCTGTTCAAAGACTTAAATGACTACTAGATGAATACTCAAGGCTTCACTTTACAGATAACAGAAAAGATGCTTTGGGTCTGAAAAATATTAAGAGCAGGTGTTTACAATCGTTCATTTGGATCATGAAGCAACTGCCTTGGAAAACGTTGAAGTAAAGATGGCAAGTCTGGAAAGTTCACTCCCCTGTTGAGTGAATTAGGGCTGGGGTTACTTAGTATGATCCATTTACCACATTTTCCAAATGTGATTATTTTAAACATCAGCTATCTTGCTATGATTTTAGACTGTAATTAGAAATTTCAGTCTGTCAGTGCCAGTCAGACAGTAGCATTCTGTGAATGTCATGTTCTATATGTCTAACAAAATTCAGATTCCGATTTTCAATGGTTTCCAATTAGACAAAACAAAGTATAAGTAGATTAAATCAGGAGAGAAATTAGTGTTAAAGACTTTAAGAAAATGCATTTGGCCTACCAAGTTCAAGGTTCCTCCACTTGGGAGCAGATGTAGTCTCTGCAGCAGAGACAGCCTCTTTCCCATGTGACCAGAGAGCGCAGAATCCTGGAGGCAAAGGAGGAGAGCACGAGTTTAGATCACACATTTTCTCAAGCCTCTTTACATAAACGTGCATGTGAATAAAAGCAAATGCAGCATAAGCGTGGCTGTCTTGCCCTGACACTCATTCTTACAGCATTCCTACTCCTGGATGTTTCTGCCCAAGCATCTTCCTTCCTTGAGGGGAAGATGCTGCCTCTTGGGCGGTTGCCCTTAGACCATCTGCGGTGCTTGCTCCTGCTACTCAAGCTGGCAGTTTCACTTTCTCTACTGATGCTTCCTGTAATGACATTGAACTGCCACATGCACAGTTGGTGTCTTACAGCTTCCATGGAATAAATCAAGAATGTAGGTGGAAACCTAAGACAATTCAAAGTGCCTTTTACACTCTTGTCCAATCAAGCTTCTTGGCACTTACCTATAAGACTGAATATTTATAGCATATTTTTACATTCAGTTCTCCAGAAAACAGACCCGGAGAGGAACGTGTGTGTGTGTGTGTGCATGTGTGTGCGCATGTGTGTGTGTTGCTTGTTTACTGTAAAGTGCTTTAAAGAAAAACACCTGTAAGGTAATGAGAGGAGTGGAAAGAGGCAAAGGGAAAGTTGAGGTGAGATGTCTTGACAACCAAGGCCCAAACCCTCCAAACCGTCCGAGGTTTTAGAGATGACATCACCTTCCTGAACTGTCCTGAGGAGGACACAGGGGCTGTGTCTTTGCACCTTGCCTTCACATCGGTTAGTGGCTTCCTGGGAACTACTCTGGGTTGATTAACAGAGCAAACAAGAGCCTTAAGCAAGGCAGCTGCCTTTAGCCTAGGCAACATTGCTTAGAAGATAACTCAATTGTCAGTCAAACACACTGTAGGGAGCTGAAGAAAGAGGACCTCTCCTAAGCTAACTATTACACCAGCTCCTTATCACTGCTGATTCTTTGGTGTTTGAAATTTCCCAGTTAGCAGACCAGAGAAACCTTAGAATTCTGTGCATCTTCAAAATTAGTCCAGGAAGTTCTTATACAGTTTTTTTTTCTTTTTATTCTTTCTATATTTTGGTAAAACATGAGTTCAGAAAGGAGAAAAGCCATCTGTTCACTTATTTTAACCCTTTTCTGTTTCTCCATTCTCAAAAATTACCTCTTCATCGGCAGATTTACTTTTTGCAAAATCGCCTAGGCTGTCTCTGTGAAACTAAAACTTTCTCTAACTTTTGAGTGTTCATACATGCAAGGAACGCTTTATGGTTTTCCAAATTTCTTCTCAGTCATGATTTTCCCCATTTTCCTCAGTTGGTTATACTGTAATATCGGTTTTTAAACTTTCCATGAGCCTAGTACTCCTTTATCTCCAATAAAATATGATGCTTTGTAACCAAGATTTGGGAAGAAAAGTCTGGACCATTTTGAGGTTCTTCTCCCAAAACTCTTAGTTATAATTTAATGGACATTTGGGGTGAGGGGAGGTCCCTTCCCTGGTCTATAAAAATTTGTTCCAAGAAAAAATTAAAGCCTGGTGTCTGCTTTTTTTTTTTAAAGCTAAAATATGGAGGACTATTTATTCTCACCAAGGACATTTCCCAGCAAGGAAATCCATAATCATTTTAGAAGCAGAAGGGTTGAGAGGGGTTGTCTTCTTTAATTTTGCAAAGTTCCTACAAAGATTCTGAATACCTTTGCTTTGAATAAGGGTTCACAGAAAGTTTGTGCCATGGACATGAATCCAGGTTTTCTGAGTATGAATCCAAACTTCTTTTTACTAAGCTAGGCAGGAACAAACAAGGGAAGCTCAGTAGTGTAACAACAAGCTATGGACATACTCATTGGAGGTGGGAAAATCACTTGTGGAGTAAAATGAATCAATTGGTTTCCTGCAAGCACTAAGTACAGAAGAAAAGTTAGTTATTCCTTTTTAAAAGATTTTATTTATTTATTTATTTCCTTATTTATATTTTAGTTTTGAGACAGAGAAAGAGAGAGAGAGAGAGCTTCCATCTTCTGATTCACTCCTGATAAGGCTGCACTAGCCAATGTTGGGCCAGGCCAATGCAGGAGCTAGGCGGTTCATCCAGATTCTCCATGTGGATGGGTGGCGAGAACCTAAGCATGTAGGCCATCTTCTGCGGCTTTTCTAAAGCCGTCAGCAGTGAGCTGGATCAGACATGTAGTAGGCAGGACGTGAATTGACACCCGTGTGGATTACTGATGTCAGTCAGTGCTTTACCCACTATATCAGAAGACTTGCCTAGTAAATTGTTTTTTTTTTTTTAAGAAGACCAGATTCTAGAGCCAATAGAAGCAAGAAAAGAATGACCAACACCAGTCAACACAATCTTTTTTTTTAACATTTTTTGCAAATTCAATTTTTCGTTTTAATATAATTATGAATATACATGCGTTTGTAAGAAAAAGAAAGATCCTACATGTTTTATCTTAGTTGTCCTCAGGCCTTCACTGGTAGAAATGTAGGAACTGGTAGGAACTTCAGATCACAAACATGAAACTGGCGTTAATTAAATGCACTAATCCTGTTCAGATCTCAAAATTTTATTTTGACTTACATGTGTCTGTGCAGATGTATGTGCATGTTATTTTTATGTGTGAGTGAGTGCATCTGTTGGCTTAGTCAAGGTACAGAACAGTGCAATGAGAATCCCTCTTCTGGAAAGGGTCTTCCTGAGCCACAGCAGTGTCTAACCACAGCACTAAAAAACATGCAAGGGGCGCAAACCAACTATTACCAAATAAATAAATCAAGTAAACAAAACCTGAATTTGAAGAGGATAGGCAAGAAATCAGTATCTATCAGATTTTATTCAGGCACAGTATCAAACACCTGGTATTAGTACTATTGCGACTACATGGAAGGATAAGAACAAAAGGGATGCATAGAAGCGGAGGGAGGGAGAGGAAAATGGAGAGCAAAGTGACAACAGAAAGGAGAAAACTGATACCTGGTAAGGAAAAGGGGAGGTCCTTTATCTCCAGGGCATCTTTTGATTCCTGATGTTAATGAGTATGATTCATGATAAAACTCCAAATAGTCTTTTCTCCATAACTTACCCATCACACTTGTAGCTCTATCATTTTTTTTGGGGGGGGGGAGAATAATTCGTTTGATAATTTATAATAATTATTCTGATAATATATCAGAATGTCCCATGAGATTGGTGATCACTTAGGAACCTGGGGGTAGAGCTTTGTCTGGCGGGCTGTGTTTCTTTATGTTAATGCTTGTTTCATGAAGCTAAGGAAGCTTCTTTGTAGAACAGAGTTACTAAAATAAAAATGTAAGAGCATAATTCAATGTCAAAAGCGACATTGGAAATATTAAGCAAAACACCCACAAATGGGAAAACACACACGCACACACACACACACACACATCACCATACCACCATCCTGAAGCTCAAGCAAGAAATAGGACTTGCAAAGGATATTTCGTACTCATAGGTCTTTATCAATTATGCATAGAATTTCAGAGAAAAAAAGAGCAAATGAATAATGTGACCTATAAAATCTGTTCTTTATGCATGAGAGTTTTCCATTTGTGCCAGGCTGTTGTGTGGTCCTGAGGCATGGTTGGTGCAACCTGAGGCTGAGTTACCTGTCAGAGAAAAGACTACCGGGACAGTATGAAAAATCAATCTGAAATCATGCGTCTGAATGGCGAGTCCAATGGGCAAGGCACAGCTTGGGAGTTGTGGAGAGAGAGCCGGTGGACATGAATGAGGCAGGATCTGAGAGAGACACCACGCTGCTCACTGCGACAGGATTGTGACTTATCCAGAGCTTATCAGTGCTTAGGTGGAAAGGGACTCATCAGATACTTGAATAACTGCTTTCATTTTTGGATTAAAAATACATCTGCAAATAAAGTTGAAACCAAGAAGTCATATTTAAGGTCCGTGACTTTCTAGAGGCTAAAGGAATTCTGGGACACCCAACTGAGTTCCTTGATTTCCTGGTTAAAAAAAAGAAGAAGAAGAAGAAAAAAGAAAGGAGGTTCTATGGCAACTTCCTTTAGTGCAAAGCTTGTGCTCAGGCTCAACGGCTTGTCATGGTGGTTTTCATTCAGATCTGCTTAGATCCGGCCAGCAGGAGGCCTGGAGCTTGCATCTGATTCAATTCCATCATGCAAGACTCAAGGTACCAGGTCTGAGGACTAAGGCAACAAAACCAAGGAATACTCCTGCAGTTCAGAAAACCTTGGCTAAAGCTTAAGCAGTAATAAAAAAAAATAACGAAGAAGCAGAAATAAAGTGTGCTTGTTCTCACAAAATACGGAGCTAGTGCTTTTATTTTTTTATCAAAGCTCAGGGCCAAAATTCATCCCTAGCTGAGGCTCACGTAGCAGAGGTATTGGAGAGATGAGTGCCTATGTTGGATTATGCCACTCACTGCTGTGCCTTGCTTGTCATGCTGCTGCCCAGGCTAATTACCTCGGCCAGGCGGCTCAACCACTGGCTGGATTCAACAGACAGATTGGATTCCACATAGAGTTTAGAAAATTAAATACCCCCGAGTGTCCAACTTCTGCTCTTCACCCACACTCAGAACAGGATGTCCTCAAGTTCAGTCTACCAAACCCAAGAGGACAGAGAAGGCAAAGAAGAAAAAAAAATCTTGTAAAACTCCAGCTGAGTCCAGGTTTCAAAAAGCAAAGTGGAGATTCCCGTATCCCTGCTCTTGACCTCTGTAATTTGATCCCTGGGGTTTGAAGGGTTTTAAATCAGTGTGTCTCCACCCTGTTTGGAGAGTGTCATGGAAATCTCCAAACAGAGTTGTATTTCATTTTTACGCCAGCCCACAGGGATGTCCTGTAAAGCCCTATCATTTGTGTCACTCTCCGGCTCTTGGATTCCGATGGCACAGGGCCAGCACTCTGACGGCTGACGGGTTCAGTGATTAAGCTCCACTTAAGTGTGTAGTGTAGGGGTTTTGAATGCAGCTGCGGGATCAAATTGCCCATGATTAAATCTCAACTGCACTGATTAAACATTGTATAACCTCAATTTTGTCAACTAACTCCATTGAATGTGTTTTATCATCTACGGAGGGAGATTAAAGAACAAACATTTGTTGAATCCTTACTTTATGAAATAGGTTCAAAGTGCTATAGCCTTTTATCTCATTCCTATGAAGATGTAATCTTATCACCATCATACAGAATAATAAAACACAGTGATGAAATAACATGCCCCCTCTGACACAGCTAGT